GTTCTCCAGAAAACAATAGCTGTGCAACTTAGAATTATATTTTAGAAAGTAGTAATCATTCTAGAGAAAGAGCCTTTGATTGGTTGCCTGTTCTAACAACTTGGAGCATGAATCAGTTTTTAAAACCAAAGGATTTCCCAAAAGATTTCCCAAAACAACAGCTGGACTGCATTTCTGAGACACTAACTCATCTTAGATAAGTAAACCTAATCTTAAAATAATCGCTTTCAGAAGGAAACCAGTCATGAGGAAAAGAAAGTTGTAGCTGTAGTGCTTTTAGCCACTGTATTAAATGATGTGAAACCACGAGTCTGTTCAGCCTTCATCGATAGATGATTCAGCCTCGGCACCAACAAAAGCTTTTAAATTAAATCAATAGCCCTGTTCAGACCAGGAATGCTGGGTAAAGTGTGTTTCACAGACAAACTTTGTGATTGTAATACCATCCAGATTAAACATAGCTGTTTATCCTTACATGACTTTGGAAAAGAATGTTTTTATCAGTAAACTTGGGCAAAACTTTTGAGAAACGTAATCTTGCTCAGATAGGAGAGTCTACTGGACATTGGACATTAAAATATATTTTACACTCAAGAAATTCTTACATAAAATCACAAACCAGTTTATCTTTACCTTTCAATAAATATGCATGATTGAGTCCTGAGTGATCAATTCCACATCTCGTATATACATAGTAATAATAGTAATAATAATAATTCATTACATTTATATAGCACTTTTCTAGGCACTCAAAGCGCTTTACATTGTCAGGGGGTATCTCCTCATCCACCACCAGTGTGCAGCATCCACCTGGATGATGCGACAGCAGCCATAGTGCGCCAGAACGCCCACCACACACCAGCTTATTGGTGGAGAGGAGACAGAGTGATGAAGCCAATCAGTAGATATGGGGATTGTTAGGAGGCCATGATGGGCAAATTTGGCCATGATGCCGAGGTCAAACCTCTACTCTTTTCGAAAGACATCCTGGGATTTTTAATGACCACAGAGAGTCAGGACCTCGGTTTAACGTCTCATCGATATCATAGATAGTGTCATATATATTTTCAACATAACAACAATTAACTTCCTGCTTTAGTATTGGATTCACATCAAAGTTTGCTACATATGGATTCATTCCATTTGCCATTTATTATAAATGTACTTATTCAACATGGGTTTCAGTATACAAATCTACACACTACAAACAAAACTAATAACTACAGTGATCCCGAACCCACCAAAATGACTTCATGAAATCACAAACATCCTTTGCTTTAACTCAAACATAACTCGGAAAACAAATTCCATTTGAATAGTGTTACATATTATGCTATTCAGCCTGGGGCAGGTTTAGTATACAGTCATACCATGATTTAAAACAAAGCAACACCGGCATCAGTATCATCATCAGTGTGTGAATGCCGATAGCCGACTTGTCTGTGAATTACAATCACTGTGAATCAAAACACCGATACAAAAATCGCGGTCAAGACAGTTGGTCTGATTATGCAGATGAGAAGCAGGAACCGTCTCAGTATTCAGAAACCTCAGCGGCGGGTCACCAGTGAGCTGTCAGCGCTTCCATATTGGGCCGTCAGTAGAGCGTTCCCTTGAAATGTTTTCTAACAGACTGTCAAACAGTAAAGCTATTCTCATCAATCTAGACAGCCAAGCACAACAGACGAAAACGCTTGTCACAGAGGAAGTGTGGAGGGGGTACGCTAAATTGTTGTAAAGGAAATGGGATATTTGTAAAAGGAAAGACGGGGGAGATGGGAAAAATATGTGATGCTCATGAATTTTGATCTGTGAAGAAGCGCTTTTTGGACTTTTTCTAATAGATGCAAGCAACACTAAAGAATGCAACATGGTTTACATGAGAAGCTTTCACACATACAGCCTTTAGCATAAATTTAAGAGCATTTTTCTAGTTAGATGTCAAGTTTTGCATTGTAATAAAGCCGTAAGATGAACCCTATGAAGCCTACTGTATCATATTTAAAACACAAATTTATAAATAATCAACATGATCACAATTTGACTAACAAACCTGTTGTACAGAGTACAGATTATACATTTTTTTAGCATATAGGCCTAAGACTTTTAGCATCTTCACGTGGCTCATAGAAAATGTTGAATGCTACTAAGTGTTGTTTGAAGGCTACTAATGAAAAGCCTTCTTAAGATGCTGTCTTGAGTTTGCTACATTCTGTCTGAATGCATTAGCAAATGTAGCTGTTGCTAAGGTTGTGATTAGTGATTGGTATGACTTGACAAAAAGAGATTATGGATTTAGCTTGTGGTTCATGTGTCTTTTTACTATGAAAGCTTTACTGATTTTTATAATATAAACATAAGAATAACTTTTGTATTTTTAGTAATATTTCAAGATGAACACTTGCTGGGATGAAGTAGGTTTATTGATTATCCATACATCATTTTTTAGAAAAATCATGTTGAAATGCAAGTATCAAATATGGTCATCAGGATTTTGAAGTTTATTTGTTCATCTCTCAGTCATCATTGTATTGCGTTGCATTAAATGTTTTGAAACTGCAGAGCTTTGATCATAAACCTAAGCATTTAATTATCAGACATATTATTGGGACATATAGAGTGACAACTGCAAAGGATTTGTATTTGTGTATTCTTTCTTTCTTTCTCTTTACTGCCTTTACGGTTTGATGTTTTGTAGGGTTTAATAAAAAAAATTAAATGAGAAAAAAATACGCGAGACGCGCTTCCAAAGTCCTGAGCTGAATCAAATGATTCGTGAACCCGCACCGAAGTTCTGATTTGAATCAAATTATTCACAATACGCGCTCCGAAGTGCCGTTCTGAATCAAATGATTCACGAACCCACACTAAAGACACAATCTGAATCAAATAATTCACGTTATGCACTCTGAAGTCGCGATCTGAATCAAATGATTCGCGAACCCACACTAAAGTTACGATCTGAATCAAATGATTCGCGAACCCACACCAAGCCCTGCGTTCCATTCGGAAGGGCCCATCCCTATGCCCTAATCCCTTCAAAGGGTTTACCCTCCGGAGTGAGAGCTTTGAAGGGTTGAAGGGTGTAGGGGACCAAACAACTGTTCCTTGAAGTGCCCTTCTGCGTCATCATCACATGCCCACACGGAGGCACCGTCATCATGCAAAGAATCTGCGCAAAGGATCATGGGAGCCCGAAGTGTCCATCAGTTGTACCCTTTGAAATCCTTCATTCCGAAGGGCCCTTTGAAGTGACCAGTTTTGAGCACTTTGGTTTGGAACGACCCTTCAATATGGCGGCCATGATTGTTTTCACTCCGAAGTGCCCTTCGAAAGGCGATATATCCCGTTTGGAACGGACCGAAAGTCACGATCTGAATCAAATGATTCACGATATGCACTCTGAAGTCACGATCTGAATCAAATGATTCGCGATCTATGCTCCAAAGTTCCGATCTAGGAAATCAGTTGAAAGCATCCAGTCATCTCATACCCTTGAAGTGAATGTAATTGTAAGTATATATTGTAATAAACATTTGAGAACGTGTTGTATTTAAAAAAAAAAAAAAAAAAGTGACGTGACATGTGGCCAAGCATGGTGACCCATACTCGGAATTAGTGCTCTGCATTTATCCCATCCAAAGTGCAGGCACACACAGCAGTGAACACACACACACCCGGAGCAGTGGGCAGCCATTTTTTGCTGCGGCGCCCGGGGAGCAGTTGGGGGTTCGGTGCCTTGCTCAAGGGCACCTCAGTCGTGGTATTGAAGGTGGAAGAGAGTGCTGTACATTCACTCCCCCCACCTACAATCCCTGCCGGTACGAGACTCGAACCCGCAACCTTGGGTTACGAGTCTGACTCTCTAACCATTAGGCCACGACTTCCCCTAGATACATTTATACATAATACATTTGATTGTATTAGTCTATATAGAGTGACAGTCAGTGTACAAAGAGCAAATGGGAGAAGCAGATGAACACAAAACAGCATTAAGTTAAAGAGGGTAAACTTTATCATTCAACTGATCTGTGCACGTATGGTTTTAAACACTTTGGCTACCTTATATGAATATCAAACGCACAAAGAATTTTTATTGGACACCATGCACTCTATAGTTTACTTTCAAAGAAGAATCTTAATAAATTGATATCCACAATTATAATCACCAATAACAAAAGTTTAAACAGAGGCCAAAGCAACATTAAGCGAGTGTCATCCAAAACAGCTGTAGACGGTTAGAGCCACTTTTCAGCAAAGCTCAATTCCTCGGAGCTGGTCCAGAGCCAGTAAATCAGCTTTATGAAACCGGCACCTGTGCTGGACAAATATGACAAGTGTACGCTGGCTGAATGGCACTGTGGGGATTAAAACAGTTCACAGGAGAACCAGAGGAGCCAAACACAAGTGACCGTTTTGACAATGAACCCTCTTCAAATGCAGGATAAGACTAATTAATTACTTCTGGAGAGTCTTTTAAAAATATGCCTGCTTATGTTCTAGTGCTATTCTATTTCTGTGACTTGCGCCCAAGAGAAAATGGCATTTGCAGCTACAAATTATAATGTCATCACCATTCCAGACAACTTATACAGTGTGTAATCTAATTAATTTTGAATTGCACTTATGTATAGGAAGTGTCATGCAAAATGTCAAGATCTTTAAAGCAATCAAATTGTGCACGTTATTCTCTCCATTTTTATCTAGTCTAAAAGTCCAAGTTAATGATATTAAGATTCTGCCCACATTTAGATGTATTATATTATATTATATTATATTATATTATATTATATTATATTATATTATATAAAGAGTTAAGAGATTGTAGGCACAATCTGAATTCTCATTGTACAATGGGTGAACATATATAGTATAATAGTATTTGACAGGTGCACAGTGACATAAATGTCATTTAAAGACTGAATGCTTCTCAGGCGTACGGCCCATCTTCATCGGCTCATTGAGGCGACATCTTCCCTCACAAGAAAAATATGCACCTGTATTCCCCGTTTCCAGCTCCAATCAAAGCTCAACTTCCTCTCCTGGCGAGTCTTCAGACATTTTCAACCTCCCTGCCGATTCGAAGCGGTCATTTATTTCTTTTCACCCGTGTTCTGTTGTTTACCAGTGATTTGGACATCTGTCAAGGTGGTGGGTTTGCCACCCCCTCTGGTGTCATTAGTGAGGCCCTTTTTGCCAAATCAACTAAGATAGATGGGGTTATCAGTAGAGCCCTGGACGCAGATCAAATCCAGTCCTGTTTGGCCGCCGTCCCTCCTTTTTGCAAGCGAGGATGATTACCATACGATGAAGGGCGCCAGCACTGACTTTCACAGAGACCAGCGTCTTCAAGCAGATCTAGTAGTAGAGTAAACAGAGGAGGTTGAATTGAAGTCATAAAGGAAGTCTCTTGTGTCTGTGCAAAGAGATAAAAGCTAGTTCAAAGCACAATATTTTCCTAAAATCTTTGATGCATCTTAGATAGTTCAGTCTGGAAATGAACGCAAGCACCTCAGGCTGAAATGATGAAATTTCAACCAGAGCATCAAAACTATTTTGGTTGCATTTATCAGAGTCTACACAGATGCCATCAGACCCTAATCAGTGTTCAGTTACACTGAAAATTGTTCAGGTGCTACACAGCTCCCATTTTGAAATCGACTGTAGGACTCAAATACTGAGCTGCCTAGATACAGCATCCTAACTGAAATAGAACTTGTGGCTAATTTGAACACTCTGCATAGGCATCAAATCTGCAAATCAAATTTTTCTCTTTAGGTGAAGTGCAGGGGTCTGGCGATTTTAATACAAGCAAGCTTGTTGTGCTTGTTGCAATGCATTCTGGGAATGCACACTCAGGGAGCGATAAAAAAAAGGCTGTCTTAGAGTTTGGCAAAAATGAAGCATTTTAGGGGGGAGCATAATTAAGTTGGCTATCTTTTGGAACAGGCTCCGCAGCAGGAGCGTCTGTGGTGTCTTAAAATGCTGCCTGTGGAGGATGCTCACTAGGTTTAGGAACAGAACGCTGGTCAAAAGTCACAGTCATTATACTAATGATTTCTGCACCTGGCTTGTGTCCTCTCGTTACCAGAAGTCATGCATGGACAAGTCAAATAAAATATTAAAAACAAAAGTTTTCACTTTGTGAATGAAAGAAAGAAAAAGCATTTCTTCTGAACCCTAAAGATTAAAAGGGACACACAATAGCGTTCATTTTGGTGTCAGTTTTTTATGCTTTTCTTCAACAAAGATGCATTAAATTGATCAAAAGTGACAGTAGAGACATTAATAATGTTACCAAAGGTTTTTACTTCACTTTTTTTTTTTTTTTTTTCATAATTCATCAAAGAACCCTGGTGGAAAATGGTTTTTAAAAAAGTATTAAGCAAAACTGTTTTCAACGTTGACAACAAGAAATGTTTGTTGAGCATATTCGCTCAATATCAGCATATTAGAATGATTTCTGAAGAATCATGTGACACTGAAGACTGGAGTAATGATGCTGAAAATTCAGCTTTGATCACAGGGAAAAAAATACATTTTAAAATATATTCAAACAGAAAACAGTTATTTAAAATTTTAATAATATTTCACAATATTTCTGTTTTTACTGTATCTTTGATCAAATAAATGCAGTTGTGGTGAGCATAAGAGACTTCTCAAAAACATTTTTTTTTTAATCTTACCGACCCCTTTTCAGTTAGGAGCTCATGCACACACAAAACTGCATATTATTTTGGTTTTCATATTATTTTGCATATTGTTTTAGTATGTTGCCAAGCATATTTGCTTTTTACATGTTTATAGGGAGGTATTAAATTTTTCAGGCTGTAAGAATGCCAAAATAATGTCAGAAACATTAACATCATAATGATAAAACCGGAGCGGTATAGAGAATAAAGAGAGAAAGCATAGCTTAAGGAACAAAGAGCTCATGGCTCAGGACAGACAGGCTTGAATCTTTAACACAGTTGCCCAGGAAAACATCTCGGGTAAAGAGACAAATTCAAGCGCAAAACTGAGGGTATGTTTACAGGAAATTGATTGTGCTAAAAATTGAATAATTTTTCCTTCTCGCTTTTGAAAAGTTTGGCATACAGACATTGTCAAAACAATCCCTGTTCACACAAATCCATGAAAATGACTAAAAATGCTGTATTATTCATGCCAGGCCAGCAGCTGGCGATGTCACTTTGTAAATTACACACCTGCGCACATTCCTATACGCATGTGCATGACATGGATAAAACTATGGTATGGTTTTCAAAAACTTGCTTTGGTTGTACTTGCTTACAAAAACCTTTGGGTTGTAAACATTCCCTGAGAGAAAAGAGACTACAGCTTTGGTTACAGATTCTTTCATCCTTTCCTTGACCGTTTGACTAAACCAAACCAGAGACATTCGAACTGACCAATCAATCAGCAAACTACAGCATGCATAAACACCTCAGAAAATGTAACACTAGATAGTTAACTGAGATCTACAAGCAGGAGACGAACAACTGGAAAGTAATGCCTAATCGAAATGAAGATACGATTTTAAACAATGTTTAGGGTTTAATAGGAATCCCAGCTTACATTCAAGGTCTTGTGAATTGAGCCCGATTCAATTAATGAGCTTAAGTTAACTGGAGCCGACGACTTAAACGACTTAAACGTTTCGAATGGTAGTGCAAAAAAGAAAAGAAACCACAGCTCTGGTTACAATCTTCTTTCATCCTTTCCTTGACAGTGTGACAAGAGACATTCAAACTGACCAATCAGCAAACTTCAGCATGTATAACACCTTAGATAAAACCCCAAGTTAATTAGTTAACTAGTTCGAGACTGCAAGATCCACAACATATGCCAGCAGGAGACTCCCTAATGAGCAACTGGACAGTAATGCCTAGAATAGCCATGAATCCAAATTAAGATAAGATTTTAAGCTCTTAATTGGAGTCCCAGTTTACATTCAAGGTCTTGTGAATTGAGCCAGATTCAATTAATGAGCTTAAGTTAATTGGAACCACATTTCAACTACTTCAGTGATTTGAATAGTAGTGCAAAAAAGAGACATGCACGTCCATGCACATGCATTGTCATGGGGTTAAGAGCATCTCCACATGCAGAAAGCACATATAATCACAGCACTTGTGCGCCACATGCATCTCTCCACACTGCAGCATTCGCACAAATCCAGGTGCGTTCACTTCTTTCTTCGTTTTAATGAATGCCTAAGGTTTTTTGACTATTCTGACTCAGACTTTCAGAGACCCCATGGGCCAAATTACCAACGTACAGTCATAGCATGATCAAGCCTATTCCCTGCCAATCGATGCCGCATAATTACGTGTCATCTCCCATTCTGCAGAATTAGCCCTGTCGGCTGATGTCCCCTCTTCCTGTCTGCCCCTCTCTCATCACACATTGTTCTGCAGCAGAAGAGCATCAAGGTTTGATCAGGTCCGATGCTGGTGCTGCAGCGCTACAGCAAACCTACTAATAGGCATCCTGCTGAGCTGTCACTGCATCCATCTACGGATGGCAAAGATAAATTACTCTGCTTATTAAGAAACTCACACCATGGACCAAAACAGAACAGCTGCAACTGAATACGGTTTCTCTCTACGCAAAAGGCACATCAAACGAAGCATAAATTAGATTCTAACGGTCAAATCGTGTGGAGTGTAATGACAAAGCACGCCTATTAAGGTGACTGCGCTTTTGCCAAAGTTTTTGTTTCACATTTCTCATTTTAAAAGTCCAATTCAAGATTTCATTACTCAGAAGAGCGGCTTTCCGACCAGCTGGGGAATTTCAGAAGGAAACCACCGAGCAACCTTCTCCGCTTCAGCACCAAAGGTTCAAATAAACAAAAGCGCAGCACTCCGTGAAATCAATCAGGGGAGCCAACAGGTGGCAGCAGTCCAATCCAGCATTTGCATTCAATGGCACAATGAGGAACATAACCTCGGCCTCGCTTTCTAAAGACTTCATTAGCATTTGAGTGAAAGCAGTCACGGGACAACAAGCGCAGTGTTCCCCATGTGCTTTACCTCATGTGACCCCAATAACTCAAGTTAAAACACTTTCACGCTGACTGAATCACACTCGGATGGGAGGCGGAGGCCCATTTAAAGGTGTACCATGCCATGTTAACCATGTTTTGCTTCTAGAGAAATGTGTGGTGCTGTTGACAACACAGTTTAAAATGATTAAGACACATACCAGCTGCCTAGAAACAGCCGTTTTAAGGTGTGATTAAACTTTATGTTCCTGCGAATTCGCGTAGTAAAAGGACCTTTGACCAGCCAGGGAATTTAAATGTCACAGGTTCACTTTTGGCTCAATATAAAGAATACAAACTTGCTTCCTGTGTGTCCCAGCTAAGAAAAATAGAGTATGTTCTAGAACATTCCGTTCATGTTCTCATTAAGTTATGAAAACGTTACTTCTGAATGTTCAAAACATCCAGATTTTAAAATGTTTTAAACCTTTTTTTATCCAAACGTTGTAAAGGAACATTATATTTTTGTCATTTTGCAAACATCATGGGAATGGTACTTTGGAATGTTCTTTAAAATGTTCTAAAACATGCAGTAACATTTAAAAAACGTAATTCAGAAAAAAAAAACTTTCCATGAACATGAATGTATAACATTTTTGTGCTAATGTTTTGTGAATGTTTGAACCTTTTTTAATAGTTGTGTTTGAGTCCCTCAATTGTCCTCAGTGTGAAAAGATGGATCTCAAAATCATACAGTCACTGCTGGAAAGGGTTCAAATATGCAAAAGATGCTGGAAAACGGAAGAATCTGCAGGACCTGGAGGATTTTTCTGAAGAACAGTGCTCAGTTTAACTGTTCAGGACAAACAAGGGACTCATGAACAACCATCACAAAACAAAAAAACAGTCGTGGATCATCCAGGTAACCACACACATTATTAAGAACCAAGGGTTCCCAAACTTTTGAAGGGGGGTATTTTTATAATTTCAGCTATTTTTTGTCTTGTGGATTAAATGGAAACATGTTTTATGTAAAATATCTTACTCAGGACAGTACTAAATAAAAAACAACAGGCATTTTGCATGATCTCTCTTACTTTGTTAAAATTATTCACATTTTCACAGATTCTGCAAGGGGTTCCCAAACTTTCGCATGTCACTGTATGTGAAGTATTTCTCACATTAAGCTACTAAAACAGAAATAAGGAGGACAAAAACACCATGAGTCGTGGAAGGCACAGTTTCACCAAGAAACAGAGACTGTCTCATGCAGCAAAAAATATTAACCTACGCTTTATGCCACATGCAAAAACAACTAAAAGAATCCCATTGTCATAAGGATAAACATATTCTACTAAACATAATAATA